GACCACTACTGTTCTGGCTAATGTTGATGAGTTTGCCAGCACTTTTTTCGTTTTTTGAACTTATTTTTTCTTCTATTTCTTGAACGATCCTGGTATTTGTTTCAAATCTCTTGAACGGATTTTTTTGTTTCGTTTTTTGAACGGATTTTTTTTTTTGTTTCGGTTCCTGAACGGATTTTTGAGCGGATTACCAGCACAGTAGTTTCCCCAGCAAAAACACGTGTTGGCCTTTAGTCGATTATAGATTTAATTATGCCAAACGAGACATCTAGCATTTTTTTTTCGCTTTTTGAACTTTTTCATTTTTTGAACTCATTTTTTTTCTGTTTCTCGAACGCATTTTCTTTCATTTCTCGGACGATCCTGGTATTTGTTTCGTTTTTTGAACGGTTTTTTTTTTTGTTTCCTTCCCTGAACGGATTTTTTTTTTTGTTTCGGTCCCTGAACGGATTACCAGCACAGTAGTTTTCTCAGCAAAAACACGTGGTTGGCCTTTATAAATTTATTTATGCGAAACGGAACGTTCAGCATTTTTTTTTTTCGCTTTTTGAACTTTTTTTTTTGAACTCATTTTTTTTGTTTCTCAAGTACATTTTCGTTTCTCAAACGATCCTGGTATGCGTTTCGGTTTTTGAACGGATTTTTTTTTTGTTTTCTTTCCTAAACGGATTCTTGAGCGGATTACCGGCACAGTCGTTTCCCCAGCAAAAACACGTGGTTGGCCTTTAGTCGATTATAGATTTATTTATGCCAAAATGGGCTATTTGTTTGGTAAAAAAAAGAGGAAAAGAGCAAAAGAGTAGTGTGCGAGGGTTGGATCTGCAAACCCCCCTTTTCGTTCATCCTTTCTTCCATTCTTTACATCTTTCAGGCGTAACATTAACTTTTGCATTTAGCTTTTTAGAAAAAGGCGTCAAATTAAGTTCCGCGTGATCTTGTGAGGCTTCTAGAACACCAGTAAACCTTCTTAATTCCAGTGATGCTTCGCCTGGTTCCAGCTTTAATTTTAATCCATTTTACGCAAATCACAGACAGGAATTGAGTAATGTTGATAATTTACAGATTTTTTTCGTTTCTCAAACTATCCTAGTATTTGTTTCGTTTTTTGAACGGATTTTTTTTTGTTTCGTTTTTTGAACTTATTCTTGAACGGGTTCAGTAATGTTGATATTGTGTAGATTGGCCACGCATTGCGGCGTCTAGCCAGTATCGAAATGACGTTGGCGCTTCTGTCGGCAACGGGTGTCGGGAAAGCGGTGAATCAGCTGAGAAATGACGAAACACATGGCCCGGAAGCGCTTCGTATCGTCCAAAAATGGAAGGACATGGCACGCAGCTGCGGCCTCAAACCGAAAAGGTAATTTTTACTTTCTTAACCCCAACCTGGGTAAATTATGCCCATGATTCCTGGAATACGTAAAATAGTTGTTAATTGATAGAAAGTTCCGATCATATTTTGCATATCTAAGGAAAATAGTAATCAAAAATATGTCCTTTAAGGTGCCCATAAAACGGACTAAAGAAAGTTATCCAGATGAAGTTTCGATTAAATCTTCTGCTTTCAATAATTCTCCTTAATTTTTTTTTGTTTCGTTTTGTTTCAAAAATTCCTAGTTTGTGACATAAGGGGATAACATGGGCCAGCAATCTTTTACATGGGCCAACATGGGCCAGCAATCCAGCAACAAAACTTTTAGATTTGAAGTTGTGCGGGAAATTATTTGCCGTAATGTTATAAAATTGCCAGAAGTGTGGGTATATTTCTGGCTGCTTGCAAAAATAGCGTGGATTTAGATTTTTTTAATTTGGATTTTGGATTTTTTTTAATAATTTTGATTTAGATTTTTAAAAAAAAAAGAATTTCTTCCTCGCTGACTCAATGTTTCGTTGAGCATGCTGCCTGAAATAGCTATAATAAAATTTAGTTGTAAAAATTCGAAAAAAACGATAGTGAATCAGTTTGCAGATACAAAAACAGGATGGGATTGTTTCAGGAAACGATCCCGTTCGCCTAGTTCGGAGCACGAAAAGAGTTCACCGGTGAAGTTGAAAAAGAAAAACAGTCACAGCGAAGACAGCGGAACAGGAAGCAGTAACGAGGGGACACGAAAAGTGAGTATACCAATGAACAGAGCTGCTTTAGTGCTTAAATTTTTACAATTAGATTGTAGAATTGCCACTAAATTTTTCCTGCCCCATCAAATTTACCTGATTTTCCAGCTGACTCACCGTGATTTAGCTCATTTTGCCTGAAATTGAAAGACTTCTGTTGCATCATGACTTCCTCCTAGATAGATCGTGTAATGGCGCGAAAGCGGCCTATATAAGGCCGCCGTGCTAGTGTTGTACAGCAGTGTCGATCCAGTGTGGGGTTGCGGAATTTTGGAGACCATCCAGATGACGCAAGAGGGATGTGGACCCTGCTACTACCCCGAATTATTACCCGGTCGAGGAAACGCCTAGCCAGTAAACCCAACATATCATCAATGCCTTACTGATTTAATTTTTATGCAAAAAAAAACAGAAATGGAATATCGATCCATTTTCAGGATGCGCGAGAGGGTGCTTCGTGCTCGGGCGTGAGTTTCGCAGAAATGCTAGCACGAGCTGACACTGCTAAACCATTTAAACCAAAGAAATTCAAGGTGGACAATAACCATTGGAAATCGTCAAAAGTTGATGCTAATTACAAGCCTTCAAAAGTGCTTAACTTTGAGCCAACCCCAAAGGAACGTCAAAGTGGCATGTTTTTTTTTTCTTTTTTTTTGATTTTTATATAACAGTGATTATTGTCCGATTTGAGTTTGGCACGTTTTGTACAAATTTCATGTAAAAAAAACATTTTACTGAGCTATTTATACTCTCAGTCCTCTTATTTTCTTTTACTGTTATCATATATTTTGGGTATGTATTATTTATTATGTATGTACTGGTACTTTACAGCCTTGAATGTAAATTAGTATATTCAAGGCAGACGCTTTATTATTTGTTCTACACCGATTTTGCTCATGTGAAAAAAGGGATGTAAAAGAAATTGGATTAGGAACTTGATAGAAGAAGCAGAGGGACGGGAAAGGAGGGGGGAAGGGAAATAAGGCTTAAAATTCAGCTAAAATTTTGCAAAAAAATTAGCTAGAGAGGTATCAAAGTACTAAACTTTAGTAATGGAAATTGGCCTAATTTTCTGATTTATGAAAAACCAAGCAATGAATAAGTAGTAAGCTGTATACTTCGGACCTTTTCCCCGGAAATCTGTTAGGTCTGGCCGTAGAGGGATACATAAGTGAGGTTATATTAGCGGAAGCAAAAATTCCATTCACAGTTATTATTTTAGTTGTTTCTGAAGCAGCAGCGATGGATGCATCGATGTTTAAACCGCGTAGAACGGTGCATAAAATCTATGCTGGTCGTCCGAAAGGTGATTTGCTGAAGGAAGTGCCC